ACCATTATTCTTTTCATTCTAGCAAATACTCAAAAGTCTTCAAGATGTTGCTAAATGTAACCAAGGTTATAATCTCCTTAATAATCTTTTGGATGCTTCAATATATCGCCTTCATAATTTTGTCCTGGGGATATGAGGGGAAGCTTCATTTTAGCTAGTTTTAGACAGCTACATCTGAGGAGGTCCTCTAAGGAACTTCCAGTGCCATTTGCCATGCTTCAGGCATTTAGATATGATAAACAATAACAAAGTGCCTGCTTATCTAACTCAGTATTAGTGGCTCAGATGTACTCAATGCAGCCCTACATTCCTGAAGCCTGAATTCAGCCATCACGAGTAAGATTCATCTATCTGACCTACCATCATTTCCATCAAGCTCATGCTTTCTTAATTAATTTACAAAAAAACCACATGAGACAATGTCAAAACCTTAACTAAAGTCCAAATACTGGACATCTACTGTTCTTTTGTTACCTACAAAATCTGATAGCCACTCCTAGAATGGAATTAGATTGCTTTAATATGTTTGCACTTGGCAAATCCATATTGCCTCTTACGTATTTCTTTTTTATTTTCTAGCTACTTTAAGTAGTTTATATGTTCATTGACTTTTCTGTGAATTGAAAATAATTCCCCACATTCTCCTTCCTTTCCTCTTTTACAGATAAGTTCAATGTCATTCGTGTTTAGTCTTTTGGTACCTGATACCATCCTCCAAGAATTCTCACAGAACTAACAGAACTAAGTTTTTCAGACAGCTATGTAACACAAATTGAAGTTCATTAAATAAGTTGTAAGATCCCTAACCTATATAATCTGTTCCTTCCTTATCTACAGTTGAGGTTCTACTTCTAGGATTAACTGCATGTCATATGTTCACTGAAGACCTCTTCAATAAACATGTGTAATAAAAAAATCACTGTATGTTTTTGCCTTCTCTGCAAAAAAACCTTACTCCAAGCAGGTTTTCCTTTCCTGCAGTACCTCTCTTAGGTGCTGAAGATTTCTTTGTTCCTCTGTCTATTAATGTACTGATATATGCATGTTATATTAAATCTTAAATTTCTCTTGCTAGTTGCATCTCACTGAGTGCTTTGGCACTTCTGACTTTTCTCTACATGCATGTTATTCGACCATGCTTAGTAAAGAGAGAAATTTTCCTCATTATGCCTAAGTTGTAAGAAGAGATGAAAATTTAACTAAGCTGGTCTTTTACACTTTCTTTTCTTCCCATTGGTGAAGCTTATAACTATGGTCTTTAGCAGAGTTCTGTTGAAAAGCCCACAGATTTCTCTTTAACTTGCACCCTAGAGATTTTTTTAAAATAAATTCTCTGAATTTTATTGACATCTACCTTTTTGAGCCTTTTTTTTCTAGGCAGTAATGTAATTTCTTTCCCAATAAACAGCTGTGGCAAAATTTGACTCTTGTGAAGAAACAAATCAGCCATAATTTAAGTGTCAGGTGGCATAGATGTTTCCACATTAGCTTCAGTAGAACATCACTTGCCAGCAGCATCTTTCATTTCCTCTATTACCAAGAGGTTCTGTATTCCTTGGGCTAGTGTTTGGGGGTTTTGGTCTGTTATTGTTGAAATTGGTTCTTACGTGTTTCCTGGTCAGCACTTTTTCTTTTGACTTCAGCATTAAGTTATTCAGCTGTTGAATGCTACATGCTCTCAGAGGACATCAACAGCCAGCTTCCTCTCTGTAGTTTTAAGTTTATTCCTCCAGTACCTGTACTGCTACCAACTGAAAAGTCTGCTTCAATTTTTTTTGTTTCCAAATGCATGCTGTGAAGTCCTCATCACCATACTCAGTCAGTTTTGAATCTCTTCTTTCAGTGCTCCTCTACTTGCTTCTTAAGAGATTTCCCTAGTAAGCTAAGGGCAGTCTTTCCACATGTCACCAGTAGGAAAATATAGCCCAAAGATCTGGCAAATCCATTCAAGAATTTCATCACAAGATGTCATCATTGTCTAATTCTAAATATAGCTACTGAATCATGAGTATATGACACATTTCCTCTCAAATATTTTTTACTGAGAATGAGATATTATGTACAAGGAGCTCTTCATGATTGTGTTTAAATTTTATATACTTTTTATATACTTTTATACACTTTTGTTTTTACTGGCAGTTAAAAAACTAAAGTATAATATGAATTACAGGATTAAGCAAATACTAAAATGAAGCATTCCATCTGAAGCTACATTCGCTCTTCAGTATTATCAGAAATTCTGCTATTTGCTAAAAAGTTATTAGACAAGTGAAGTTTTCTGAACACTGTTAATAATCTAGATGTTTTCAGTTCAACACTAGAAGTCTCTTTGATTTATACTCTCTGAACATTAAAAACATTAAGCTTTAGTGTATTATCTTTTTATACATGTATTCAAGTAAAACTATCAAAACTCATATTTATATATAAACTGATGAATTATTTCAAAATTATATTATGTGATACCATACTACTTAGTTTTTTATTCCTAAGCATAGGCATAACATGAGCTAAAATCTAAAGTCAAGTAAAAATCTACTCTTAAATATGTAAACATCAGTGTAATAAGGCCCTACTTGATTGGTTACTCCAGCCTCCAAACAGTGAGAAATGAAAATTCCTTACTTCCTCCTAGATAACCAATTACTTGATTATTACTTAGGTAATGAAAATAACAATATACTTGAAGTATAAAATGTTTGATGCAATGCATATTATGCATTTGATATGATAATAGTTCCTTTTGCTTTTCTGCCTAAACTGTGTTTGACTGAACCTGGAAACAGACAGAAGGAATGAAAAGTGGAAGACATACATGTGAAGCTGCATATAGTCAGGTCTACAGCAGAAAGCAGGTGTTTATTGCAATCTGCATATAAGCAAAAGTATGAAATTTAAAGAAACAGTTGTATTTTGATTGATTGTAGCTTGATTTCTTAATTAAGATCAAAGTCAAATTATCATCCTAAACTAGCTAAAGGAGTTGACAGAAAAGAAAAAATGCTGGTCTTCAAAAAGCTTCACACTGAATAGAAAGTAAGCTGAGACTCAGTGTCCACTCTGGGAAAAGAAATAGTGAAGCAAAGAACAGATCTGCCAGCTGAAAGAGCTGAAACACCAAATGCCATGTTTGAATGCCAAGAAAAATAATGCATGCCATAGAAGCCACAAAATGGCTGAAGATAAGAGCTGTGAGATATATTTTGATCTTAAAAAAGTAGAAAAAGAAAAGCAGTGGTCAGAGGAATGGAGAGAGTGGTATTTACACATCACTAAGTTATGCAACTTTGCATACACATACTGTTGCTTTTGTCTCCTTTTCATACCTCCTACGTGCTGTGCAACTTCTTAATGGATGCCTGACTTTACCTTTGGTGCCTGTGTACTACTGTGGTAAGCTGACCTTGGTTGGATGCCAGGTATCCACCAAGCTGTTCTATCACTGCCCTCCTCAGCAGGACAGGGCAGGGGAGCAAATGAGATGGAAAACCATTCCTTTTGGGTCAAGATAAAGGCAGTTTAATAAAGCAAAAGCAAAGGCCTATGTGAAACCAAAGGGAAACTATTTATGGTCTACTTCTCATCTGCAGGTGATATCCAGCTCCTCCTTCTTTTTCTTAGCTTTTATTGCTGAGCAGACACTGTATGGTATGGAATATCCCTCTGCAGCTTGGGTCACCTGTCCTGGCTATGTCCCCTCCCAAGAGGGAGGAATGTTGGAGAGGCAGCCTTGGTGCTGTGCAAGCACTGCTCAGCAGCAGCCAAACACTGGGGTGTTTTAAAGGTGAACACCTTTCTAGCTACCAAAGCAAAGTACAGCACTATGAGTGCTGCTGTGCAAAAATGAACTCCATCTCGAACTGACCCAATACAACTACCATGATAAAATATAATAAGCAACAAATCCTGAATTACTTATAATACATTCAGAAATTATTAACTATCTCCTAACCTAGAGTTTGTCTATGAATAATTCTACTTTTGAAACTTGTAAGTTTCAGAACCAAAGAACAGACTGCCAGTACATGTCTAGCACTTTTCATTATATTGCCCTTTATTATTTTTAGGAAAAAACCAATCTGAATCTGCTTGTTTTATCTGCAATTATATTTGTATACAAATCAGTTTTCTCTTTTACCTAGAGTCCCTTTTCACTGTACAAGTGAAAATAGCTGTGTCAATTCTATTTAATTGATGAGACACAGTTTCATCCTATATACATATAAAGTTCCATAAAATGGACAGATGTTAAAATATATTCCTTTTCAAATTTTAAGCAATAAGGTACATAACCTCCTGCCCAATACATAAACCCAATGCAATTTTTAGCAGGGGAGTACAGGCGAGTTAACATTGCTTTGCCCCACGCTAAATTATTCAGACATTCAAGTAAGTTTTCTTTCCATGAGTTAGGGAGAAGATGTAGTAAAATGATTTCAAAATTCTTATCAGCACAGTTGCACAGGTTTATGCTGACAGACCAACAGGCTAGGCATGACTTACAGTTCTTAGAATCCACCATGGTAGGGAAGGTTTTTCTCATCACTGCTAACACCAGTCCCTGGCTGTCAGCAACATTTTCAGCCCTGTGCCAAATATTTCTTCGAAGCAGCATTAGATAATAAAATCTTTTAAAAAGTGTCAGCAGTTATTGGATTATATATACTCAGAGTCACATCATTCCAAATAAAACCTCAGCTGAAAAAGATTGTAAAATATCCCCATAGAAGAAAGGTTTCAGTACAAAGACATTAATGGAGTATTTTTTCTGGTAAGATTTCAAAACAACATTAATAACTCCATTCTGCTATTTAAAGCAACAGCTCCAGGATGCTGGGCCTAATGCACCTCTAACATTAAATGACATTGATTCTGTTCATGGTTATTCAAAATACCTACAAATGATTTCACCACAATGAGTTACTTACAAATGTCTTATCCACAGTTTCCCTATAGACAATCAAACCAAAATTAAACAATAGTTGGTTGTTTTTCCTTACTTGTAGTGTGATCACTCATCTCCCCCAGTCCAGTATTAATTCCAGCATCTATTGAACTCATGATCTTATCAATCTACAAAAGAGACAACAGTGAAAACAACTGATGGATCCCATCTTCATTATTTTAGTCTAGTTTTCATGCATCAATTTATGGCATTGTTACTCTCATTCAGAAAACAATAATCAAAATAGAAAAAAGCAAAAATCAAAGGTGAAAATTAATTTCTCCACTTTGATTTTTATTTTGCAATATTTTTATGCTAGCAAAAGCTAAAGCTTGGAACTAGTATTTCTTTTTCTACAGTAGAGTTCCTTTCATACTGATGCCATCTAGGTATTATCACTAGTGGTCTATTTAAGCAGTAATATTAATGAATAAAAATATTTTTGGTGTGTTCTTAAGTATTAAAGCAATTGTTCAAGTAAGATATCCAGAGAATTTCCTAGCTCCCTTTTTTTCATCTGCCCCAAGGCTACTCAGTAGGTATGAAACATTGTTGTCCCTCCACACACTGCAGAATGATATTCTCTGTGAAACTGCACTGCATCGATCCCAAAACTTATTTACATGTTTTTAAAGCACATTGAACTTACTATGTCAAAACCATTTTACCTATTTTATTTTCTATAAGAACAGGACAGAACAAAAAGTGAATCAAAACGCTGGTGTGGACTAAGAAGGCAGACACAGAGAAGCATATTTTACTAAGTTTAATATTAGGACTAGTAGAAAAAGTATCTATTAGTCACTGGTGACAGGAGACAATCTAGCACTTAGGACAGAATCTGCAGATTGGGAATCCATACTTTTTTTAATATATATGAACTGCATTCTTTTACTCTTAAGAACAATTGAACCTTGATGCTCCCCTAGAGAGGCAAACTTGGAACTGACTCTAATTTTTTAGAGGACAGGATTTTATAATAATGTAACAAAGTTATGAAGATTGAAACCTGATCCTTAATGTATTTCCACTGAGAAACTGTCTCCTTTAAAACAGAAACTACCTTTAGATGCCCTATCAAATTAGACATCTAGATGAGCTGAAAACCTTTTTCTAGAAAAATAACCAATCACATAATCAACCTCTGTGTGCTTTCTGAATGAAAAAGCACCCTGGAGATAGATACTTTTCCCCTGTGTAATTGTTTTAAAGAGAAATGCTCACTTCTCTGTAGGGGCATGAAAGATATTTTACCCTCTTAATTCACTCCAATGCAATGGGAACTTCTGTGTTTATGAAGAACCTTTTACATTCTTGAAATTCAGCACAGGAGAAAAAAAGCTAAACATAAGGTGCCTAAGAATTATTTTAAATTGAGTTCTAAACCTAAAATAAAGTCTCTCATATGAGCAAGCATGTGCATTACAAATTCAGTGTGGACATTTATGTTTATGTGGACATAGTCCCGAATTTATTGTAGCTATAAGTGTATTCCCACTTCACACAAGTCAGGTATGTGCCAAGCATTTTGTACACAGGCTACATACCAGTTAGAGGATATGATACACAGGGAGGGTTTGTAGAATGTAACTCTCTATTCCCGCCATTTTTTCCTCTCTTGCTGGCAGACACTGCCATGGTGGGAAATAATTAGCAAATATGTAAATAATGGGCATAGTTACAAAGGATTTTACCAATTTTATTAGTGTCAGTGGTGAGGGCTTTAGTAGACAATAATTTCAATGCCACAACAAATTACAGAATTACTTCTGGTTAACTTCATTCACTACGGAAACAATAGACTTTATTGAGTGGGCAGCATTGGAATAGAAATGCTTTGCATTTTGTGCCAGCTGTTGAACTACCCTGCATTACACTGTGACATTCCCTTTGAAGATTTGCAGTGTGAAAGATTCACTTTTTATTTCATCTCTGAAACTGAAAACAATAACAGCATCTTTACAAGACCATTTGCTAATACTTAAAAAATGAACAAAACTTACTTCTTCCCATTCTGATGTGAAAGAAGGTGTTCTCTCTGAATTTCCTTTGGAGCACTGTTGATTTGGTGTGGGTTCACTCCAATTGCTTCTTGCTTTTTTGTCATTTGGTGGACGGGTGATAAGATTAGAATCAGATTTAGAAACATTTTTGCACAAATGCATTTCAAGTAAAGTCTTCGGTAAGGATCGTATTCTCCCAAGTGTGCATGCTCGCTCCACAAATCCCCCAGTGCTAATAACCCATTGTTCACTTATCCTTGGTGCACCAACCAGTGTATGATTTTCTACTGGTTTATTTTTAGTATGAAATATGGTTCTGTTTACAATTGGAGGTTTTTTTTTCTTAACAGGAGGATCAGAGCTGCTTTCTTTTCGTAGTTGTATCTGCTGCACTGTGCTCTTGCTCAAAATGCTTTTCTCTAGCGGACCACTGCACAGGTTTACTTTGCTGTACAGCTGGAGTGGATTTTCAGGTGGGTCACATGCAGGTGATGATCCATGAAGTAAACCCGCAAACTGCTCAGCGGGGTGTCCTTCTGGAAACTCACTTTCAGTGGATGTTTCACGCTGGCAAAGTTGCTCTGAAATGAGAGAGTACATTGTAAAGAAGAACAGGATGATAAAATACTGCAAACCACAAAACCTTTACTCTCCTCAACATTACTTTTGTATGCTGCTTGGTTCTTATGTAAAGAAACGAAAGATAAATATGCAATGAACTGATTTATTAGTTTCTTTAAAAAAAAAATAAATCTCTCCTTAAACTCGACTATTTTACCCTGACTGGTTGAAGAACAACAAACAATGCTCAGTGCTACACATAAATTCCACGAAAAAAACAAATTTATAAAATAGGCCATTGTTATTCCATCATCATAATGGTGTCTCTTTTAATTTGTTATTGAGTTGAAATGTGTAAAAATTATGTATACAGTTATTATATACAGTTTTGTATGATGAATTAGGTAGTTATTTTGTAGGTGGTAAAATACATGAAGAACCAGTATTGCCAGAAGCATTTTTAGTAATTTTTCATTTTATAGTCATTATAATAATAGTGAATTTACACTATGATGCCTTTTTACTGACAGTCGCTAAAGAATAGATCTGAGTGTTGTTTTTATTTCTAGAAACTTCTGAGAATAGTAATAGCAACCACTGGGAAAAAAGAATATATTTAATAACCTCTTCAAACTGCACCATCAAAAACTAAAACTATGTGTCTTCATTGCTCATGTGAATATCAAAGATCTCAGTCTCAAGAACTAAGGTCCCCTGGTAAAATGTTTTTGCAGGTGCCAGAGTCCATCAGTGCTGGTCACTTTTCAAACATCACCTCCTAAGGGCACAGGAGCAGGTAATCCACAAAAAAGTCAAGCAGGTGAGACAGAAGGCCGGCTTGGCTGAGCAGAGATCTTCTCTTGAAAATAAGGAAGAAAAGGAAGGTGTATGCCCAGTGGAAGCAAGGTCAAGGAGGAATTTACAGATGCTGCCTGCTACTGTAGGAAGAAATGATCAACTCCCAATCAACCCCAAGCTTGTGCAGGATCTGCCGCTCCAGTTGGATCCCTACAAAACTATGAGGCCTGATGGGATTCATTCAAGAATCCTGAGAGAGCTGACAGCTGTCATCACAAAACCTTCTTTTGAGGATTTTTGAGTGGTCTTGGGAGTCCAGAGAGCTCCCAGCTGAGTGGAAGCTCACAAACGTTGGCCCAGTTTTCAAGAAGGGCAAGAAGGAAGATCGCAGAAACTCCAGGCCAGACAGTCTCAGTTCAGTGCCTGGTAAAGTTATGGAGAAGATTATTCTGGGAGGTACTGAAAAACACTTGTAGGACAATGCAGTCATTGGTCACAGCCAGCACGGCTTTGTGAGGGGAAAGTCCTGCTTATCAAACCTGATCTTATGACAAGGTAACCCACCTAGCTGATCAAGGGAAGCCAGTTGATGTAATCACTTTGGATTTCAGTAAAACTTTCAATACTGTCTCTCACACGATCACTCTGGACAAAATGTCCAGCACACACCTGGATAAACACATCATGCCATGGGTGAGCAATTGACTCATGGGTTGAGCACAGAGGGTAATAGCGAATGGGGTGACATCCGACTGGTGACCTGTCACTAGTGGGGTTCCAGAGGGCTCCATCTCAGGCCCTGTGCTCTTCAACATCTTCATAAATGACTTGGATGCAGGACTGGAAGGGATACTAGGTAAGTTTGCAGATGACACAAAACTGAGAGGAGCTGTTGACTCCCGTGAAGGCAGGGAGGCCCTGCAGAGAGACCTTGACAAATCAAAGGACTGGGCAGTCACCAACCATATGAAGTTCAACAAGGGGAAGTGACAGATTCTGCACCTGGGATGGGGCAACCCTGGATGTACATACAGACTGGGGAATGAGATGCTGGAAAGCAGTGCCACAGAAAGGGACATGGGGGTCCTGGTCGACAGCAAGTTGAATATGAATCAGCAGTGGCTGATCAGCCAGGAGGGCCAACTGTGTCCTGGGGGCATCAGAGTATCGCCAGCCAATCGAGGGAAGGGATTGTCTCACTCTGCTCTGCACTGATGCTGCCTCACCTTGAATATTGTGGCAGTTTTGGGCACTGCAACATAGGAAAGATCTTGAGCTCTGAGAGTGTCCAAAGGAGGGCAATGAAGATGGTGAAAGGCTTTGAGGGGAAGCCGTATGAGGAGTGGCTGAGATCACTTGGTCTGTTCAGCCTGGAGAAGAGGAGACTGAGGGGAGACCTCATTGCAGTTACAACTTCCTTGTGAGAGGAAGTGGAGGGGCAGGCACTGATCTCTTCTCTGTGGTGACCAGTGTCAGAACCCAAGGGAGTGTCCTGAAGTTGTGTCAGGAGAGGTTTAGGTTGGATATTAGAAAGAGGTTCTTCACCCAGAGGGTGGCTGGGTACTGAACAGGCTTCCCAGGGAAGTGTTCACATGACCAAGGCTGAAAGAGGTTCAAGAAGCATTTGGATGATACTCTTGGTCACATGGTGTGGCTCTTGGGGATGTCCCTGTGCAGGCCCAGGAGTTGAACTCGATGATCCTTTTGGGTCCCTTCCAACTAGGCATATTCTGTGATTCTCTGATTCTGTGAACCTAAAGTATGAAAAACTTCAAACAGAATAATATAATACTACTCCTATATCTTTGCTAAAATAGGCTACTTTAATAAAAAAGAATATTTCTTAGCTTTTAATAATTACCCATATCTGAGACTGATGTCTTTTTATTGTTGCATATTTCTGTCAAAAATTTCAAGAAAACTGATACTGACATAAATATTTCCACTGAGACTCAGTAGTAATGCATAAAATGTAATATTTTATGTATTAATTTCTGCCTGTTTTATAAACATATCACAGTAATTCTTGGTCTTTTGAATACTGCTGGGCATTGAAAAAAACCATTTCATTAAGTTGCTTATACTAATGATCAATGTTCTGATTGGTTAAAATTAACTTTAAATCTACAGATATATAGGAGAAATTCGGACTCTCCATTTCTATTGTGTTCTATATCCTAACTTCATCATATGCTATTGAACACTAAATAAGATTCTTATTTTTATTTGTTTCAGCCAACTTAACTGGTACGAAGAAATTATATGATATACAATTACATTGCATAGGTCTCTAGTCAGTGAACAGTCATTTAATGATACCAGTTTTGCTCTCTCACAAGCAGTTGAGTAAGCCTTCTGAGAAGAGACTTTAAGAAAGAGGGTGGGGATACAAGGGAGAGTTAATAGGGGAAGCTCAAACTCTTGGACTGAATCCCAGTGGAGAGAATCTTTCTGCTTATAAATAAGGTTTTTTTTGTTTTTGCAAGTACATTTATTTTTGTAATTATAAAAAAGAAAAAAAGCCAATAAAAAGAAATCTTGCTTCCTCACCAGATACTGCTTTTCTTACCACTTTATCTTTTTACTTGTAAATAGTATCATAAATACCAAAACATAAACAGATGTCATTTCTACATAACTTTAGTGTTATTACAAGTGCACGTACAGCTTATCCATCTGAGTGGATTACTTCTGAAAATCACTGTGATACTGCTGTATCTGTGTTACATGGAAAACATTTACATTTGTAACTACAAATAAATTCAGTTCTGCCATAATCTGAAAGCCACAGATACATATTGCTATTATCACCAGTTTATATACAACCAAACTGGTATTTAGGCAGCAGATTGCAATTCAATCAGCTATTTATTTTCACACTGATGCACCACAGCACAGTTGCTCGTGGTACATATATAGAACTCTATGGAATACCATTTCTCACTTTCAGTATTTGAGAGTTATAATTTACAGATGCTTCATCAAACTCACATAATTTTTTTCTGAATCTGACTCCAAGACTGTGGAGCACATTAAGAAAATCAGAGGCATACTGAATACTGTGAATTTTGCATTCATGTAAAGTTGGAAATCATCTTATTCCCATTTACATCTCAAGAGATTCCATGTTCAAAACTAAAGTACATTCAGGAGAATAACAGTTGTTAATAATATTAATGAAAAGAGCTGTAATAGACAAATTATAATGACAGAGCTAGATCTTTCACAGGCATTGCTGTTGCCATGGCACAAGTTTCTAATGTAAAATAAAAATCTATGAGAAAATTGTTCTATAGCTATGGCAACAACTGTATTGTGACACATGCAGTATTAATCTATTCAAGTTCTGCTTTCATTTGATCCAAAAAGATGTTTTTAGCATCACACTCTGCACATGTGTAATATTTGCCCAAAAATGTATTTTCAACTCCCTTTTCTCCACACTCAGTTGATTGATAAAATGAACAGTCAAAACTGAGTAATATTTGCAGACTACCCTCTTAGAGAAGAATGGTAAACAAAGAAGTCTTCTTATTTGCATAGTAAAGATTGCTCTGGAGACATTGGAATACCTTCAGTAGTGAGGATATCAATTGTATTGCCAAAGTAATACAAAATGGGATGATCAGCAAGAAAATGTGTAAGACAGAAAATTCATAGTATTTAAAAACTGAAATAGCAATATTCAGGAAGGCATTATTTCACACAGCAAACAACATGGTGCTTCGACCAAGCTCTAGCTCTTTGGTGACAATATGTTGGCTGTTGGTATCCTAGATGAGGCAGAGCAATGTTTTCTCACTCTAGTAAAAATTACAGCAAGGTACCACAGACCTATGTGGGAAATATAACAACACGATTACTAAGCAACTATTGAAGAATGTGGGCTTCTTCTGTCACCAGCAACAACACAGAAAAGGAGCAATAGCATCCAGCCACATTACAGTTTCTTCTGCTTCTTCCTAAATCTAAAGAAACCATCGGAATGTGGTTGGCAAGGTTGGTGTTGGTGGTCTCCAGGCTCTGCACCCAGGTTCCAAAATTGCCAGCTTCTCAAAAAACATACAGTCCCTTAGAAATCACACTGAGTGTCTCTGTGGGTTATGTTTTCCCTTACTAGCTTCACAACCTCCAATACACCCCCTTAACATCACAGTCTGAACTTGACTGTGTACTGAAGGGTTTTGCTGCCTCACTAGCTGTACCTTCATATTTTCACTGT